GACTCGATCCAGGGACTCCAGGATCATGACCTGAGCCGAAGGCAGTTGCTTAACCAACTGAGCCACCCAGGCGCCCTATTTTATTTTATTTTTTAAAAAGATTTATTTATTTGTTTTAGAGAGAGGGAGTGGGGGGGAGTGAAGGGCAGAGAGAGAGTGAGAGGGAGAGAAGCAGACTCCCCGCTGAGCACAGAGCCCAATGCCAGGCTCGATCTCACGACCTGAGCCGAAATCAAGAGTGGGATGCCTAACCAACTGAGCCACTCAGTCGCCCCCAAATCAAGGACAATTTTATACCTGCATTTACTCTGTACAACAGGCCAAGGAATGGGCAGTCTAATCTTCATTTTCAGAAGAAGATACTGAGTCACACAGAGGTCATGTGACTTAACCAAGGTAATACCCCTGGTGAATGGTGGGGTCAGGAAGATAACCCACATTTCGATTCCAGACCCCATGCCCTTGACCACTAAGCTAGACACTTCGGGTCTACCTGTTTGCTTTCTACAATATTGAGAAAATCCTGAGGACTGCATAACCACATTCCCACGTCCTTGAGCCCAGGCTGGGCTGGGAGTTCCACCCACAACACAGCACTCACCTGGAATTGCTCCCAGGCGTAGCAGCGAAGGTTTAGGTGAACACAGAACTGAGACATTCCTCCCACTTCAACAGCAAATAACAAACAACAGGACTCCCTTAGAGTCATACATGCTTCACACGCTCACACAGCATTCTTCAGTCAGGGTCTGACTTGATATTCATGCTGAAGGGGACAACTGTTCTCTGGAGGTCAGGGTGTCCAGTATGGGGATGGCAACAATAGGAGCCATCTGCTCGCAGTGACAAGGGCCCTCCTATGTGCCAGGTCCTGTGACAACCACTTCATTAGTTCATTTGATACCTTTTTTACAGATGCCCAAGAGATGCACATTATTAGTTCCATTAGCAAATGAGGAAACCTCCAGGTTAAGAGCCCAAGGTCACAGAGTAAGGATCTAGGGTGAGAGCTGTCCAACTCCTCAGACTGTGTCCCTAATGCCCAAGCTGGGTGGGGCAGACCGGCACAGATCTAGTTCAGACCAGGATGATTTGAGGGGAGCGTGGAAATGGGAGAACATAACGGGAATAGGAAGAGAAGGGAAGGCCCCAGGGAAGCTGGGAGAGTTCTGAGAGGGAGCCCAGCCAGCAGGGAGAGAGCAGAGGAGCATCTGGGGAGGAGGTTCTACACACACGCACCTTCCTTGAACACCCCGTTGACAGAGAAGCAGAGCATTGTCTCCTGAAAGGGAAGGGCCCAGGTGCTAAGTCACCTAAACCTCCTACTCACCCACGGCTTTCTGGGGCTGCCTGAGGGAGGAAGCCGGTGCTCACCGTCTGGAACCACATGTCCACATTGAAGGAGCTGAGGTCATGCTGAGTTTTGGGCAGCACACAGAGGGAGCCCACGATGTCACGTTTTGTATGCTTCAGCGGCTGAACACGCAGGGCTATGGGGGGAGGAGAAACAAGCGAAGGTCAGGGGTTGCCACACCCTGGGCCCTGTAATTATCACTTCACACCCCTTTCCCTGCCCAATCTTCCCCATCACACACGCACAGGCGTCCTTGAGCTTCTTCATATTCCTGCTTTCCTTGAAGTATTCACACAAGCTGCTTCTAGGAGAGAAAGAGGAACAGGAGGTGGTGGTCTGGCCAGTGTGGGTGTTTCCAGGAGCTCCCCTGTATCCACTGGGGAGCCACAGGGCCCAGGAGCAGAGTCGGAGCTTTGCTACTCACGGGGCTGACTCCTCGGGGTTGAAGGGAATGGCCAGGGAGAAGCAGGCCTCATTGTGGTAGGCACCGAAGAGACCCTGACGGTCTCCAGAGTCGTAGATCAAGTAGTACCTGTGGGAGAGCAATGAGGACAGTCTATCTCTGTGGTGTGGATCCCAAATGAGATTTCAAGACCCAGTCAGCAGTCCTGAGCTTGGGTGACCTCACCCATCCTAGCCATCCCTTTCCCCAGATTCCCAGGAGTACTTACTGCTGCAGGAATTGCAGGATTAGGCTCTTCAGTGCATCAGATCCAAAGAAGCTTCCCTGAAATCACAACAGTCCTCAGAACCACGGCTGATAACCCCTCCTCACGCACCACCCAAAACCCGGCTTGATCCGCCCTCCTCACCTTGCAGGTTGGTAACCTCTTGTGGGCTGCAGTACCGATACTGGTTGGTGAAGGTGACTCCTGGCTGTCCTGGGGAAAGGAAGAGGGAGTGGGCAGTGTGGACCAGGAGTTGGTGCTGAACAATCAGGGAAAGGATGGGCCCCGGAGAGGGTGAGGGTCAGAGGCCAGGTGCAAAAGGGCCCTGGAAATTACATGGGCAAGACTACATTTGGGATCACTGTCTTGGGGTCCCTGATGCCCCTGGAGAACGTGGTTGAAGGCGATCTGGAGCCCTTGTTGGGTTCCCACATGGATCTGGACCTCCATGAGATTGAAGGGTCATGAAAATTGTAACTTCTGCAAGACCTAAATGGCTTCAGGGCAGGTTTGGGGCAGCATCAGCGCCAGCAGAGGAGTCAATGATCAAGGAATACACCTACCAGGGTTAGTAACTTGGGAAACAATTCCAGGATGGAGCTGCAGAAATCCAGACAAAACAGAAAAGTCAGTGAAACTTTGCAGGTGTCCTTCATCATGGGAGCAAGCACACTTACACCTGACACACAGCCCAGTACGTCCCACCTACACTGCACTGTCCTAGGCTTCCAGGGCCCTTGGCACCTCCCTTGTGGATGGACCTAGAGGGAAAGCACACACTCTCTTCCCCCTCCTCTCTCTGATTCCATTCCTCCACCCCACCCCCTCCTCCCTCTCTTTCCCCTGGGTGGATCCCACCTAGACTGTCCTGACTCCCGTGTCCAGTGCCACCAGAAGCAACATTTGGAGCCCAGGCTCCAGGGCTGCCTTCTCCTTCCTGCCTCCCTTCCTTCCTTCAGGTCCCCACCAAAGGCTCCAGAGAGAAGAGGGAATGGGGTGGAAGCCCAGGGCTCTGCTACCTCACTAGGGGTCCAGCATGCTGCAGGACCATGACACCCCCCAGGGGTGGCCCGGGATGCTGGGGCAAGGAGGTGAGTGAGGCAGGAACCAGGAGGCAGGGGGGGAGAGGGAGGGGGATGAAGACAGAAGAGGGGTTGAAGGTAGGAAGGGAGAGGTGAGAGAGACATAGGGGAGTAGAGACAAAAGAGGGAGAGAAAGCAAAACAAAGGGAAGGGAAAGAAGCTCTACCATGGTGGTGGGGGTCAGGGAGGAAGAGAGGAGAAAGGGGAAATGGCTCTCTGCCTGCAGTCCCTTCCTTCATCTGCCCTGGCTGGCCCTGGCATCCGACGTAGGAATGGAAAACACTGCAGGTGTTGGGCCGGGGGCCCACTGCACGCTGGTTGAAACTTTGTCACTTGTGTGAGCTCAGTCTGAGCCAGGCATGGGGGACGAAGCAGCCACGGGGGCAGGAGACCTTCCCCAGAGGGAGTAGAGGGTCAAGCCCCAGGTCAGCATGGAGCTGGGGGTCTGTGGTCCCCTCTTATGATCACCACCTTCTCCTCTGAGAGGCCTGCCCTTCTGTCCTCTCAAGCACCTCTGCCCTCTGCCTTTCATTCCTGCCTCAGAAAGCCCTCTGCTCACTGGCAGTCACCCACTTCTGGCCTCCTGATTCAGGGAACCCTGGTTTCTCCCAAGGAGGGCCCAGCTCCTGGCAGGGGGTCAGAGGAACGGATGTCATGATGGCAGTCCCCCAGGACCTCGGCCCTCAGCATGGGGCAGGAAAGCCACCAAGGCAGCCCGGAATTGGAGGGGGGATACATTTGGTTCAAGGAAAAGAGGGTCCCTCTCAGAACAAGGGAGGGAAGCCCTGTCTCGGCAGGGAGGCAGAAAGGCCCGTCTCAGCATGAGGCCCTGGGCTGGAGGGCCCCTCTCAGTCCAGGGCACCAGCACCGGGCTCAAGGTGGTCACCCTGGTCCTAGTGAGGAAGGGGAGCCCTGCTTCGTAGATCACACTTTGGGGTTGGCACGCTAGAGAAGGCTGGGTGCAGACAACCTGCAAACGGACCTCAGACCAGACAAACCGGTGAGCAGGTCAGAGGAAGGGAAGGAGATGTCTAAGCACAGGCGAGGGACACAGAGAAGAGAGCATAGGGCCTCCGGTCCCCCCAAAGGAACAGAGCTGCTGCCTCCTCCAAACAGGCACCGTCAGGCATAGTTCAGAGTCCCACGGGGTGACACAGTGTACAACTGACCTTATGTTGGTTGATTTATCAGGGAAGGTGGTGCACAGGGGGCTTCTATCGGCACTCATCTCTTCTGGCTGCAGACTTTTGCCCTCGTCCAACTCCCCTGCAGACTTCACCTATAATTACGGGGAGGAAACACGTGGAGCAGAGAGAGATGGCCAGGATGACCCTGCACCCCCGGTCCTTCCCTTCTCCAACAAATCCACTCCCCTGACTCTTGTCACCATCCCGTGAGCACTCCCAACTTCCTTTCAAAGAAGGATCTGGGTACCACACCTCACCTCACTGTTGGAGGGGTTCAAGCTCTTGATGCTGGCGGCATTCTGCATAGTGTTGGACAAGCCATCCAGCTGGCAGGGTGTCTTGGTGCTCGGGTTCGAGGGCAAAAGCTATGATGAGGAAAAAGTTAGAGTGAGGACCGCAACAGGGGATATCTGAGACCAATCTGCCTCTTCTACCTAATCTCTCCCACCTTCAGCATCAGTCTCAGCACTGGGACTGAGTCCTCACCTCGGGCATGTTCTTTTCATGGGTCTGCAGGGAGGCAGCCATGCTGTTTCTAGGATTTGGTACCATTTCAATATCATGGGTGATCAAGTCTCCGAGAAGCCGAGAGGAGGGAATCAGAAGGCTGCGAGAGGCCCGGCT